TACCGTGTAATGTTGTTGCATTTAAAAAAGAACCCAGTGACCGGAAAAAATCGATGATATGATATTCAGTAATAACCAGTAAAATTTTTTTTCTAATTGCAACTCCTATTTTAGTAATTTTTGGTCAATCGCAAAAATATTCGAAATTGATGCATCAATTACTATAATCAATTATGGAAACCAATATGCATAATTATAGTAATTCACTAAAAATTACAATTTGTATCAATAACATGTGAGCAAAGCCCACCAGTCAGATTGCATTTATTAACAACATTATTTTGTGGCGCAGTATCCTTCAACCCTAACCCTTTTTGTAGCCGGAGATTTTTCAACACACGCCCACATTCTTACGTAAAGTGTGATTTCCTCCAAAAAGTGCCAGCCACGACCCGTTGTAACAATACTATACACATAGTAGAAATCCTCCTCTTCTTGCTCTCGCTTTCTTATGTTCGTTTTAATTGAACTCTCTAGTTTTTTGACATTCTAATAAATAAGGATATAAATAAGTTGTGTACATTTATTTGCTCGAGACAATCATCTTGCCTGAGAAAAACCCAATGGGACTTTATGTTGCTTGCCTTCGGTGATACAGAGAATATCCTCAAGATCCTGAATAAAAAATATTACGTTAGCATTACTTGAAAAATCGAATCTCTGCCTCCTTAATTACGTAATCAACTCTTCCTTTTTTCGTCGTCAATAATTTCATGTTGGGGGCGCATACTTAATTATTTTCCCGTCTTGTCTATGACAATGTGGAGAGCTGAATGGAGTAATGCCACGACGTATTTATGCATGAAGCGTTTATCTTCTTGAATCTCGCTAACTGGTAGTTCAAATAGGGAGATTGCCTCTATCCCGTCGCTATTGAAGTCAAACTTTTCTAATACTTCTTTCAAACTTAATATGAAAACGCCCTCAATTTTTTCTCCTTAACCTCTTTAGTGAAATCCGCAAGAGTCATAGCAGGGTCACTTTAAACTATCAATTCTTGAAATCTTGTTTCTGTGAAATAGTTACCTTAGGTAATAATACCCTGAAAATAGTATATAAATTTTTAAACTAGCATCACGTTGAACGATTTCGATTTTTTTCCGCCAATTCCTGAAGATAGTAAAACTAGGAGATTGTGAACTCGATATATTCCCAAAAAATGATGCAATGTATCTGTGAAGATATTTATTATAATGTAGTTATCACTTGAATTCCTTATATGGGCATGGGCTATATTCTTAGTCTTATGCATTACCATACCCATTTTGCACAAGTGATGAGAAAAAAAATTTTTTTAAGGTGCTAAGTGTAATTGCCACATTTGTTTATTGATAAATGCCTTATACGTGGGGTGATTCAAAAATTTTGTTATCGGAGTTGTATTTGCATGTGAATTAAAGCTTATTAAATTTTTTTTTTGATAATATTACATGTTGCAATTCAATTATAAAAAAATAAATCTATATTAATATAAAAACCAGTAAGAATTTTTTTAAAAAAATTTCTTTTAAAAACAATTGCAAGAAAATGAGCTGTTAGTATCAACATTACTATACTTATGTTTGTTGAAAAAATGATATAAATGCAACCCAGGTTTATACTAAGTTATATCAGAAAAATTTTTTGCAAAAAAACTTTGAAGATTTCTGTTTTTAAAAAAATTTTTGAAAATTTTCAAAGTAATATTTCAAAGATTTTTGAAAAACTTCAAAAAATTTAATAACAAAATAATTTAAAGATTTCTGAAGTAATATAAAACAAAACATTAATTTTCAATGATTTATAAAAATTAAATTAATTTATTTTTTGAGTACTTAATATAAAAAATATATGGAACAAAATTTTATTTAAGTTATTTAAATCAAAATCTTATGGACTTTTTTGAAAATTAAAAATTTTTGATTTTTTACAATACTTCAAAGATTATTTGGTTTAAGTAAATTATTGTAAAATTTTGTTTCACATAATTTTTATTAAGTACTCAAGTATAAATTAATTCATTTTTAAGTAAATTTTTGAATTACTTTAAATATTTTTAAAGTCTTATTCTTTTTGAATTATACAGTGTGTAACAAAAATAATTGAACAATATATTAAAATTTATTTTTGTAATATTTCAATAACTAATTGATTAAATAAGAC